GCGGCGGGGCGGCGGCGGAGCGGCGGCGCTCGGGGCGGATGGACCAGGCGCTTCTGCTCGTCCTCAACGAGCTGCCCGCYCCGGGCCTGCGCCTCGCCGCCCGCTCCGGCTCCTGCCACCAGGTGAGGGGCTGTGCCGGGCGGGGGTCACCACCCGGCCTCCGCTTCTGACAGCCCGGCCCGCGGYGGGGCTGCTCGGCTTCTCCGGCGGCTCCCCGTGGCTCTGTTAGGTCGCTTCGCTCGGTTTTACCTTCGAGCAGCACGCAGGGAATTCCCGCAGCAGGAGCTGCTCCAGCCCCGTGGCATCTTCCCTCGTCTTTGCCACCATGCAAGGCAGAACCCCCTTTCACTCTCCTTTGGCACTAATGRGCTCCCTTCACCCTCTTCTTCCACAGTGCTTGTATCAGTTCCTGGCGTTTGTCCCACCAAGCAACGAGAGCCTGAGAAAACCAGGCACGGCGTCGGTAATGGTTGATACCCAGCATCCACTCACCCTGCTGCTCAACAGCTCWGTGGGTGACAGAGAGCTCTGCAAGTACGTGGCCCAGCCCCAGGGAATYCGTGGATAGCCGTATCCTATATTTGTGTTGRTTTGGTTTGTTGGGTTTTTTCCCCCTTGGAGCTATGTGCCTCATTATTGTCTGCTCATCACCTTTTTCCCAGCTGTTTAGACCTAGAGTTCAATCTTCACCCCACTGCTGTAACGTGGTGTACTTTGGAATTGTGCTGGAAGAATCTAGATGCAAGCAGGAGCCAAAACGGTGTTCATTGAGGCAGCATGTGCAAGCACCTGGTTTTTCTTGCAGGGAGTCTCTAGTTCAAGAAGACAAATGATGGCAGTGCATGTGTGGTGAAGAATTGATGTTGGGCTAGGGGAGGTGTAATGCTTAGAATAGGCAAGTAATGCTTAGAAAAGGCAAGTTCCACAGTGTTGGTCCAAGTTTTTGGCTTGCCTTTCCTAAAGCATTCAGGCTTTCAGCCCTCCTAAGTGCTGCGGTGGTACCTGCATGTACTGGTGGCTCACCAAGTTTTGTTTCCTTTATCATTTGCAGGATTCAATATCATTTTGGAGAGTTTGGCAATTATTCCCTTGTGGTAAAGACCCTAAGTACAAGCACCCAAAATGTTTCTTGTGACCTAATCATCAATGAAGGCCCTATCAACAGCTACCTCCGTATGTAGTGCTCTGTTTTTCCCTTTCRTTCTACAACTTGCATGTCTCCCAGCAGGACCAGCTTCCTAAGAAACCTGTGCAGCCACTCATGCTGTGCTGAAGAGTTGTCATGGCCTTGCTCCTCTTCTTTCTCAAYATCTTGCCTCCTTATGTGTTATATACCGATCCTAACCAGGATCAGGCCTCTTCACATGATATACTGTCTGCCCACAATCTTTTTGCAGGAGGGGTTAGTACAGAAAAATCAGTGGGTGTATGTCTGGAGGGAGATATTAGTTCCTATTTCCCTGCATATTTTATATATATACACAGAATCCTCCCTCTTCTTCCGTCTATCTTACTTCTCCCCAAAAATGGGAAACAATTCACAGTGTTTTGGACTTCTTTTTGTTGTTGCACTTTTAGTTTTAAACCTGATGTTTTTCATTCATCTCTTTTCCAGAGCTTTTCAAATTTTTGTCTAGCATTTCTTCCATTCTTTTCCTTTACATTACATTATTCTTCAGTCCTTCCAGTTTCCAACTGTGAAGAAAAATTCTCCATGCTTGCTAACTTGGTGTATTGCCCTTTCCCCTATCTTTTTCATGTTGAGGCYGTTTCTTCTTTCAGAAGATACAGCACATCATGTCGCTTCTCACTACTRTCTTGTGATGCATTGCAGTTTTGTTTTGCTTTTTTTTATGGAGTCACTGAGATGCACTTTGAATCTAGCCTAATTTTGTGTTGGGTAGTTTGGGGGTTTTGCTGTAGGGTTTTTTTTTTCCCCTCTGAGGAGGTACAATGGAGATGTTGCATGAAGAAWGTGATATGAGTGATTGAGTCGGGCTTTGTATTATGTTTGTCATGCCAAGCCCAGGTCGCTGAATGGTTTGTTAGATCATTTATCGAGTTATGTGCTTCTCTTTCCATGTAGCAATTCTCTTTGCTTTCCTGGTTTACATGGGGATCCTTGCTATCCTGATTGTTGGGCGCCTTCTAATGAAGTAAGTGAACAGCACTCCCTCCTTGCATGTGAAGTGGGGCTGCCAGTTCAATTCCACACATCACAGCGTGCTAATGTCTCAGAGTCCCCTGCTTGCAGATCCTGTCCTGGTAACAGGTTGCCATGTGCGAGTTGTGGCACATGTGGCAAGAAATGCAGAGTGAAGTGATTTGGCTTGAGGGATATCTTGCAGCCTTGTCAGTTTGTGCACAGAGCAGTTACTAAAGAGCAGCTGATGTTCGCTGTAATCTYACACATGCCCTGCTGCACCCTCCTGTCCCTTGATCCTTGTCTAGCTCTGGATCAGTAATCCAAGTCAGTGGGACCAAAGTGCATGTAACAAATGCAACCTTCCACCCTGTGTATTGACTGGTGAAAGTCATCCTTGCCTGTAGGCAATCCAAGAATAAAACCCCCAAACATGAGCTTGTGTCAGTGTATTTACACAGTTGGACTTAACTGAGATCCTAAGTACTGGCTGAATCTCAGTATTACCTATGTGAGCCGTAAAAACAGAAATAGGAGCTGTCCAAACTTGTGATTTATGCTGCTAAATAGTTTCTGAGGTGAAATTAACTATGAAGTGCTTTTGGCTTTGTTTTGTGTTTTAAACTGTTTCTTGTTTTCAGAATTGATGCAGTCAGAAACTGGGTTTACAAGAAACTGAATCCCAGAGCAACTGATCGTATGATTAACTCTGTGAGTGACCACAGTATCTTTAGTTTGCATTCTGTAGTGTTTTCATCTCTGAGAAACACACTCTATCTGGACCTCTGGGGGCTTGTTTGTTGCTAATCATCTTTCCCTCGTGTGTATGTTCCCCTTAGCAAACCTAGTGTTGATGTCAGGCAATTTTGTTTCAATGGAGAGCACTAGACTGGGTTTCCATGCAAGTATAGTGGATTCCCTGTAGAGCTGTCCCAAGTTTCAAACACAGAGCTTTGGRCCCTTTTCAGTTCTCTTGAAGCAAATGTGTTGGTGAAAACACTGTCCCCTTCTGACATAGTCAGTGTAAGGGAAATCACAGCCTTCATGTCTGCTCCCAGCACAGTGGGAATTTTAGCTAAAAAAATGAAGCCAAAATTTCTCCGGCACYGCTAGAACTAGCATTTCTGTCTGGTCCCATTTTGTACTAGAATGTAGATAGTTCATCACACTCGGGGCTTCATATCTAAGAAGTCCAAACCTGTCTAGATTCAAAAGACTTGGAGGCAGAGCTCTACAGTAATTCTTACATTTGCTCATCTCTATAACTGGGATATAACGCGTCCTTCTTTATGCTGTTACTAGGTCTGATCAGAGTGATTTAGGGAACTCAATTGCAAAGAAGCCACACCTGTGTTTAAAAGAATTCATTTTCCACTGGTTTAGCTTTCGAAACAGTCAGTAGTGTCAGACAAGTGCTGATGGGTTGGGGTGGGTCCTGTTTGAGGACTGGCAACTGGATCTGCTCAGCTCTGTTGTAAAGCAGAACTCAGAGTGTTGGCAAGTCTCTGGCTGATTTGGACTGGAGCCAGCTCTGATGAGTCTCAAGCACAGGCTCATTTCACTGCATTGTTGTTTCTGCCTGGTCAAAGATAGAGTCTGGAGCATCTGCAATGTGGTGAAGCCAGGAAGAGGTTAGAAGTAACAAGAGGGGAAGCAAAAGGAAGACAGGGAGAATTAAGACAGTGTGTGAAAGTTTGCTGACCTTTGTTGCCCAGTCAGTTGGTGCAGCTGCTGACTTGCTCTTCATGTGTCTGGTTTGTTCCCAAAGGAGCTCGGGTCCCCGAACACAACAGACTCCATTAACTGTGATCCAACCCCCCATTCATGGAGCACAGCCTCTCGGAAGCGGCTGCATTCCCTTGACACCTTCCGAGGGTGAGCACAAGATCTTGCTCAAAAGCAGTTCTGCCAAGGGGAATGAAATTTTTCCAATGGTGGTTTGACAGTACATGACAATATAGATGGACAGTTCACAGTGGTCTGTTTGAGTTGGAAGTTAATCAAGATTTTAATTCTCAGATTTTCCAAAACACTTTGTAATTGATCTAATTTGAGGAAACATTAAATTGTGRCAGAGGGTAGAAAAGAACATTTTCMCTGTGAAAATGCTATGCAAGGAGCTTGCTTYGGTTCACCACGACTCATGATTTTTGAAACACAGCTTCCTGGTTGGTAAAGCTGGAAACCTTGGAAATACTGCTTTAAAAATAAAATAAATCAGATCTCAGAGTTAGAAATGCATTAGGGGGAGTAGTAATCATTAACTTTGTGTTCATACATACGCATTTCATCAAAACATGATACTTTTGTCTGTTATTTTTTTAGGCTCTCTCTTGTAATTATGGTGTTTGTTAACTAYGGAGGAGGAAAATACTGGTTCTTCAAACATGAGAGTTGGAATGGTAAAGTACAATTGAGACAGTTACTCTGGGTTTTAACTGCAGCAGTGTCTAGAAATGGTTGGTGCTGCAGTGAGCTGTTGCTCAGCCGAAGGCTGGGATGCTGTGCCAGTTCCTCAGCAGGGGACCTGGCCTCATAGGTTAATGGGCAAAGCAGTGTATGGTCCCCGTTGTCACACAGTGACAGGATGGCTTCACATCACAATGTGTGTGCAGCCTTTTCATTTGTCATACAGGGCTGTAT